TTATAATTTGATAGTTGTAGTAATTCTAATTAATTTTTATATGATAGTTTATAACCTGATATTTACCAATAGCAATCTTTTTTTAAAAGTTTTGGAGATTGCATCTAGAATAGATATTGGAAATATATAAGCTACTAAAATAGTACCTAATATTCATTTTATATAAATTAAATATATTTTAAATATCTGTATATATAAGATAAATATCAGCAACCTGATATTTTTTTTTTTTTTTTTTTAAATTCGGCAGTCTTGCCAATACTGTTTATTAGTATACTAAGGTATTTGGTTATAAATGTCACATGTACAATTACAACTCTCTAATGTTTTATAAAATATTAGCTTACCCGGTTACTAAATTAGCACCTATGTGCGACCTGCTATATGAGATTTTACCTTTTTAATAATTACCCTGCAACTAGACCAGTTACTAAATCACCAGATAGTTCCCAAACCTAATTTTTATTATATATATTCTGCTTATATACTACTATACAACGTCTACCAACCAACTTCTATCCCTCATCACTTATCACATTACTCCTAATTCGATACTTGTATTACTTCCAAATTGGTGTTCTTCAAGTAGGCGTTCTTCGTACTTCTAGTTTGGTGTTCCTAGAGGGTTACTTTATAGGCCTAGCCATATCTCAAACAGTTAAATTGCCAAACTAGAATGATATTTTACATCAATCCAGGTATTCGCGTTGTACACTACCAAATTAGGCTACCAATCCTTTTATATTACTCTCTATTGGTATGGTGTTACAGAAGTCTAAATCCTTAGGATGGGAGTTATATATCTTATTTAATCACTGTCACAAGCCAGTAACCCGGGACTCATGCTTCTGTCATATTTCGTTATAGACTTCCATATAGGTTGTACAACTATTACTCCCTAGCCTGTCTTTATTTTCATACCATCAAATTGCTTGCTTCTATGCTTTTCGAAGTTTTTTTTAGCCAGTTTTCCTTGTTTCTTTGTGCCAGAGGTGTTCTATATTTGGTAAAGCTATCTTTTTACTACAGCTCCTTACTATGTTTACTGCTTCTCTCACCACTTCTGGAAATACTGTATACAGCCATTCTCCCAATCAAGTCCCAATACCACCTTAGGGTTGTTGGTTCTACCTTGCCAATCGTGGATTCACACGCATAGCCTTCTGCAATAAATCTTCTGTGACCCATATCATATACAGTATTTAGTCTTTTCCATGGCCCAGGGCTCCTTTCAAGAATTCTTTATAGGCCAAATATATATATCACATGGTCTTATCACCACAGAGTTCCACATTTGAAAGCTCTTAAAGGTTACAGAGATAATTAATTAAATTAATTACCACCAGCTATAATCGAACTGTTGACCTCATCTGTGAAGGGTTAGATACTGTATCTAGACCACTAGGCTACAGGACCCTAACCCCAGTAACCTGATATTTATCTTATATATATTTGATTTTTAATTTATTTATTGCTAATATTTTTAATACCCGATATCTATTTTAGTTATACCTAATATTTTATACCCTGATATTTATGTATTTGACCTGTGGAGGTTATTAGAGTTATAAATTTTTTAATATTTTAATTAGAATAAACCTTATATACTAGTTAATAATCACTGTTTTAGACAAGTATTATAATAACAAAATAATATTTTAATTAAAATAAACCTTATATACTAGCTGTTTTAAACAAGCATTATGATAACAAAATTTCAATTTAAGCAAGTCTAGATTTTTATTTATAATATGTTCAAGTTTATTTTTTTAATACTTTATATCTAAGTTGGTTATATTTTAAATATATAAAAATCTACATGATTTAATACAAAAATTGTATAATATAGTCAACCTCCTATAAGATTACACTTTTTTTGACTTAAGAACTTTTTTAGCTTTTATAGAGGTATTTTTTTATGTAAATTAATTTTAATGAAAATATGATATATAGAGAGATTTTTATATAATGTAATTGTAGAGGAGATGATTTTATAGAAGGTTGACTGTAGCAGATAGATAATCTATAGCTATAAAAAAATTTTTAGTAATTATGATAGAAATCATGAAAATTCTAATACAACCATATATTGTAACCACTAAAATACAAGTTCTGTAATAGTAAATTATAGTAAAAACTTATAACTGAATTTTTTTATAATAGAAATTATAATAATTTTAATACAAACTAACCAAACCTTAATTAACTATATATTTATATATCACTGGAAAAATTTTTTAAAATAATTTATAATAAATTACTATAATTCTAGCAACAGAATTTTTTTATATAGAAATTACAATAACTCTAATATAATATTTTAACAGAATTTTTTATAGTAAACTATACAATTCAATTAGAAACTCTTTCTGACAATTATTTGGATTACAATTTTTCAAAAACTTTTTACTAAGAAAAAATATAGTACACTATAAAGTTTGAATATAAAATGTGAAAAAAGTAACTCTAAGTTAGCAGCTGTTATTTAGAGATAATTCTTATATACTACTTTGCTAATAGCTTTAGAGTTTATCACTTACTGCAGACATGATACTTGTTATTTAGAAATAATTTTTATATACTACTTGCCAAGCTATCACTTATTAAAAAGACTAAGTACTGCGCAGGCTCTGGTGTGAATATTGATTTTAGTAAAAAAGAAAAAATCTACACTCTTTTAAGTGATTTCAAATGTTTTTTTCTCTCTCTTATATTTTGCCAACCTTCGATAAAAGTGGGTATTCTAGCTTACCCTTTTCAAAAAATCAGTATTTGTTTACTTTTCTTTTTCAGATAGGCTCAGTAGAGTACAACATGGGATTGGCAAACTCATATGTATTTGTTTTAATGGTGACTCTACATTATATGATGTATAATTAGCGCTTCAGTTAAGAGTTTTAGTTAAATATCGGAATTATAAGTTGGAAGAAAATTTAACAATAAGGCTTAGCTTTATATTAGAGATATACAAAATTTAGTTTTAGTATATAATTTTTACAACTTATACCTAGTATGGGCTATAATAGTGTTATCATAGATTTTTTTCTTTTTTGCTTTTTTTTTTTCTTTTATTTGTTTTTTGTTATTTGTTTTCTTTTGCTTCAGTACTTTTTATTTTTTTCTCTTTAGTTTTTTTTTTTTTTATTTTAGTGTTAGTATTTTTTTTCATAAGTCAGTTAAAGACTATGAATTCTTTTGCTTGGGAAGCTAGAAAAAGGTTAGAAATCTTGATAAGCTGTAAATCTATTTGAGAAAGTATCGAAACATCTAGTTATAAAGTGGTTAATATGGAAATAAACTTTACTATAGCAGATCAAACATAGACAATTTGAACAGGACCCTGAAGATTTCTGATACAACTTAGATCTAGATATATAAAATAGAGCAAAATTTAAAAATACTTAGATCTAGATGTATAAAATAGAGCAAAATTTAAAAATTTACTATATAAAATGCAATGTTTAATGAATTTCTATGCAAAAATTTCATTTTTGGTAATATATAAGTTGTATTAAAGTTTTTTGGGGTCCTATTTAAACACCTTTAATGTCGCAAAAAGTCAGATTAGTGAACACTTAAAGAAATTAAGTAGTCTTCAGTCAATATATTATACTCCCCTCATAAGCTGTATATTATACTAATAAAGTATTGGCAAAATTGCTGAATTTTTTTAAAAAAAATATATATAGTAAACTATAATAAAAGTTATAATAACTTTAATATAAACCAAAAAATATATAAATAATATGAAGCACTAGTTTTCTATATAAAAAGAGTATGCCCTCAAAGGCATGCCTAATTTTTTACTCATGCTTTGAACTCTAGTTACATCATATATAAGATATAGTAGCTAATATCAGTGTAATAACCAAACTTGGGCATCCAGATTTTAGTATAATGTAATTATTAAATAGCTTAGTTTTGTATTAAGTAATATGTGTTTAATAAAAATTTAATACATAGTTATTAAAAAAAAAAAAAAGATTTTAGTATACTACCAGGTACTACATTGTGACACTTTTTAAAAATTAATTTTGTTTTAAACAACTTTATATAATTTGGCTTTGCAAAAAAAATTTTTGATAAATATAAATAGCATTTCTGATTTTTTGAAATTTTTTTTTTGGCTTGAATATTTTAGTTTAATATTATCTTGATTTTTTATTATGCAAATTGACTTTTGTTTATAATTAAAAAATGTCAATCATGTCAAAATTTATATAAATCTAATAAAAATTCATTTATCAAAAAAATGTAAAAGTGGCTGTTTCTATTGCCTGCACCCCATTTAAGGCTTCAAGAATTTCCAAAGATAAAACCCAATTAAGGAAGTTTTTCTCGGTTCAAAGATGCGAAAAGATCGTGGGTGCAATAGGTACATTTCCACCTGATCAATCACAACCTAACGTCCCATACAATATAATGTCGCAAATCATAATGAAATCGGATTAAAAGAAACTGGGGACCCACTTATACTCTTTTATTAATAAAACTAACTCTAAACCCTAACCCTAACCCTAACCCTAACCCTAAAAAATGTCCCCCAAAAAATTTAAATTTTCCTAAAAAAATAGAAAAATTTCATTTTAATCCGATTTCATTTTAATCTGCCACAATGACTAAATGTGGTAGCCTGTTCAAATCTAATTTCAACTCGAGAAATTGTTACAAACAGTGTTAATTCTAGCTAAACTGTATGCATTTAATTATCAGTTATCTACTCAGTCTAATTTTAATCGTTCTTATTCAGCAAATCTTGAGCTGCATTAATATTTACTCGTGTAGAATTTTTTAATATAACACTATTGAATGCATATATATTATATATATTAGTTATTATCAATTTAATAAATTTAATTTGATCGAAAATGGATCACATATTCGGGTTTGGGTTATAGTCTCAAATTAAGTAGAAATTCCCGATTCCAAACTATTAGTAATGTCGTAGGTCAAAAAAAAAAGTTTGGATCGCAATCTCATAATCAAGAAAATGTCAATTGTTATAATTTGCCCCATGACAATCTTTTGAAATGATCTGTTTTTCTGCTTGTGGATCCGATTATGCCAATTAATTTAAGTTCTTCAAATCCTTTTATAAATCTCGCCCTAAATATTTGTGAAAAATTAGATTAACATAAAATGTAAGATCAGTTTGTTTAACCAGAAATACTTACACGACCTCCTTTTCATTAAGTTTTCTATTTTCTAAATTTTCTTTAGATATTACATTTTCAAAAGAATCCAGCCAATCTCGAACGTTAATCAATTTACCACATTGTAAATGTAATTTGTATAGGATAGAAGTATCATTATGCGTTGAAAGAATTTGCTCTCTAGAATCCCAATCATCATCATCTTTCTCATTACTTTCATCGTCCGAATCGACCATGCAACAGTTACAATTTATATATTCGGTAGAAAGTCCGAGAGCAGCATGAATTGCAGATCGTATTTTTGGTACGAATGCCTATTTTCATGGGCTAATTAGTATGATCTTATGCATATATATCGGAATAAATATGTAGAAAAATTAATGTTCTTACACATTCAAGAATGGATATATCTTCCTGGTAATAAAAAATTTCAAATAGGGTATTGGTGGAATAATGTCGCAAGTTTTCACTGAGAAAAAAAAAAACAAACCAAATTAGATAAAGCAAATAACATTGAAATGCAGAGATAAAGATGCTTACTCAAAAAATATTGACAAATAATTTATAACATCGATAACTAATTGTTTGTAATCGTCACCGATCTTTTCGATCTTTTGTAGAATGGTGGATTCTTTATTTTTCATTTTTGTTGCTGCAGAGCGAGTCGACGCGGAAGGCCTGGTTAAATCGTTTTCAATCTCCTTTGATCGAATCAAAAATTGATAAAAATCCTCATATTCTTGTTTAATATTATCCACATGATCAAACACATTCTTAAGTAAAGAAACAAAGATTTGAAGTAATTCTCCAATTTGTTTTGGATCTATCTTTCTGTAAAAAAGATTATTTTTTAATAGCCTTGAGATATATAAATTACAATTGCATTGCTGGAATTAAAGATAGTACTCACATCAAATCATCCAGCAATATTTGGATGTACTCATTTTCACCGAGCCCGGGCTTTTTTAATGCGATGGAATATAACTCATACCTCGATTTTAACTTTTTTACATCATAATTCAAACATTCTTGAAGGAACTCTTGGAGAAAAATTACAAGTTCCAATGCAATAGCAAATCTTTGATGATATGTTGCCATATTTTGACTGAAAGTGGGTAAAAGGGATTTTACATAGTAATCATCGCACAATAGCTGACGCGCCTTTGCTGGCTGATGAAGTTTGGATTCCACATACCTAGGATTTTTTTTTTTTTAATATATAAAAGGCAATTAGCGAGGTGAACATATAAATAACGCATCATCTTAGATAATTGCTTACTCTCTAAATGAAATTTGCATTCGTATCATTTCTACATGATTTTCGTTTAGCAAGTCAAGCCTCGAATGAATAGCTTCTGGTTCAATAGTTGTCAATATACTCAACGGATTTGTATAAAAATAGTGCATCAATGCATACTAAACAATGTAATAATAATTATATGTTGTCTATCTATATATATACTTTTCGAATAATAAAGCATTTGATAAATAAACTAAATAAACCTTCAAACTCGATACGAATAATGACAACGAAAACTTTCTTCCAATAAACATATCAAGCAGAAATTCGTATGTATTTTCACCGACTTTCATACATTGGGCATCTTCTACCAAACACTTATGAATTGAAAATAAAGTTAATATTACGAAATATCTATCTCAAGAAGGAAAAAAAAACTGCTAACCTGAGATACAAGGTCATCGCAACGGGCTTTTTGTGTCTGCAAATAGAACGCCACGGGTTTTAACAAGCGCACTACTGAATATGAGTAATTTTCATGAAGTGGGTCGATGCCACGAATACAAGTGGTTATTCCTAACATCAATATAGTTGGAATTCTATCTTGGTAATGACTATTGGTATACCAAAAGAAAAGCATAAATCATAATCTCGGTATTGATTTTATTATACAACAATTGTCAGAAAAGAAATACCTGCACATATATATAAAGTTTTCTAAGACTTCTGGTATAAAACACTCGAAATCTTGAATTATGATAACCAGCTTCGATAAAGGTTTCAGGCCTGAGATGCGTTTTAAGCGTCTTAAAAACGACTTTTTTTATAGCACATTGAACGGAAAAAAGCTAATATATTACCATCTTTAATTTGATAATTATACTCATACCATTGAGCCAAAGTATTCATATCAACCTTAACATACAAAAAACATATATAAATACTTTATCGAAAAACCTCAGGCGAATAAAATATGCGACTATTAGAAATTTTACTCACAATATCCTCAATTGGGTCGATAGAACAAATAGAAGCTTCCTAATTTTAATCGAGACAAAGCATGATCATTTATTACATTTAATAATAAATTAAGCTGAAAGTGAAATAAAATATACATCATCTTCTTGACAGTCTTCCTGGTATTCGTTACTACAATCGTCATTGTCACTGTCTTCATCAATTGCCTCCCTACCAAAAAATTGCCTAACTACTTGCTTCTCTGTTCGTTTCAAGTCAGTACAATCCATTGAATTAAGAAACACGATATGATTCTGATTGGCTTGTTGCAATTTTTGGGAGACACATTTGAAAAATTTTGTATTTTCCTCTTTATCAATGCCTATTATAATCGCAATTTTTTTAATTGACAACATATAATGAATTTATTTCAAGCCAGTTAAAAAAGATATTTGCCTGTAAACACTAAAGCTGTCGGGAGTGCATAAAAACGATTAGGCAGATTACTACAACAAAAAGTTCATTAATTAATGATTCGCCAACATTATCATCTTGTTCATTTAAAGCTACACTTACAATACTTACAATCTACTATTTTCACCTTTATTATATGCATTTTTCACAAAATTACAAAGGTCGGAGATAGCCGATTCGTTAACCGTTAATAAAAAATTCTGAACAAACAATTCGATTTTCTTTACTATAAAATTTTATCCATTTGCATCAATGAAAGAATTTTTAATATTTCATACCTCTATCTTCTTCTCCAAACATTGAATGGCTCTAATATAATCATCATACCTAGTTTGTGTTGCTTTTGAAGATTCTTGACCCTCTAGAAGAGGCTCAAAAGGAACGCGCTCTGGAGAAGAAACACGAGCTTAATAGAAATATTGATAAAAGTAAAATTGTTAAACATTTTATGAAACAGATATTAAACAATATATAAACGTAAATCTTCCAACCTTTCTTTCTACCAGCGTGTTTCGCAGGTGCTGGCTTTTTTGGTAGAAAAAAAACCGAGCCCTACAAAAAACCACAGTCCAGTGTTTAAAACAAGCACTATATGGAAAAAAACGGAGAGAAAAGATTAAATAACCTTTGTTAAATCCGACATTTATTTTTTAATTTCTTGAAGATTGAGCCTCGAGACTGAAGAACACGTAATACGTGATAGCATTTAAGTGATGATTGGCTGATATATTTTAGAATTCTTATTGGCTTCAAAAATCAGGACATTATTGGGCAAAAATTTGTGAAGGGGATTTTTCCATGGACAAACCCCAAGCTGATCCCAACCCAAATCCCAAATCTATCCCAAATCCCATCTAAGAACCAGTAACAAAATATAGTAAAAAGTGCTATTGTCTTTGGAATCTGGAGTTTCCCAAAAAAAACTTTCTTCAACTTCTAAGCAAAGTTGTAGAAGAGTGTCTTGCGATCAGGATGGCGGTTAAAACGTTAAAATTGGCCTAGTAGATCGTAAGATATAAGTATTTTAGTCTTCACAACTATATGTTTTCTTCTTTATTTATATAAAGAAAACATATAGTCGCAAAGACTAAAATACTTATATCTTGTGATCTACTAGGCCGATTTTAACATTTTAACCGCCATTCTGATCACAAGATGCTCTTCTACAACTTTGTTTAGAAGTTGAAGAGAGCTTAACTTAGTAAAGAAAAGGCTTTCTTTAGGAAACTCCAGATTTTAAAGATAATAGTAAATATCACACTAGTTTTTTAGTTAAGGCATTAATTTTTTTTAAATGTCAATCTGCTTTAGAATTTGGGTTCAAATAAGTAATTTGGCTATAATTTGGGATTTAGGACTAGGATTTGAAATTTGGAATTTAGGATCTGGCTATAATTTGAAATTTGAAACTAGGAATTTGGGATTTGGCCAGAGTTTGGAATTATGCTAGCCTAAATAGGATTTGTCCAGTTTAGGATTTGGGATTTTTTTACATTCCACATAGGCTTTGGGTTTGAGTAGAATTTTAAAGATTTGTAGTTTGTGCAGCATGTATAAGTGTTATCCAACAATTTATAATTATAATTGGTAAAAAGTCACTTGCTAAGTTTTTTTTTTTGAATATTGAAAAAATATAATTACATTATAATATATGAAAAAATAATAGAAAAAAAGTTTTTTATAATTATATGAGTTTGTTAGATAACTTCTGATCCATCGATCTATTTTGGATGATTTAACTGTCAAAATGATATCTCTATGAGACGATTTTAATAAGCTTAAAATTATTAAAATCTAATCACAGAATTCTAAGATTGTTAAAGATCTGTACTATGTAGACAATTAACTGAGAAATAGTGTTATATTACTATATTTTAGTGTTAGTATAGTTATACAAATTACTATTAAGTACAATAATTCAAATTTGTACTATTAAATTTATTAGTAGACTTTTTACTATTTTGTAATTGAAGTTATATTAGCATAATATTTTGACATAATATCTTATCATAGTATTTTGCTATAGTATCTTAGTATAGTATTTTAGCATAGTACCTTAGTATAGTATCTTACTATAGTATCTTATCATAGTACCTTATCATAGTATCTTAGCATAGTATAGTGCTCGGCACAATTAAACAAAAATTTGACAATCAAATATTTGAGACTAAATTGGACATCAAATGATCTCAGGTTAACCAAAACTGAATATATAATATTGGTTGGTATATGATCATTTGACGTCCGGCTTAATCACAAGTATTTGACTGTCAAATTTTTGTTTGATTTAGCCAAGCACTAGCATAGTACCTTAGTATAGTACCTTAGCATAATATCTTATCATAGTACCTTGCTATAGTATCTTAGCATAGTATCTTAATATAGTACCTTGTTATAGTACCTTATTATCAGTTACATGATTTGTCACATGTAAATTTTTATACATATAAAATTATAAAAAAAACATATAAAATTACTATAAACTTTGATTCTGTGATATTTCTTCACCTACATATTAATT